AGAAGGATTAGTAATGCATTAGACATACTTCAATCCTCTGTTTGGCAACGATTAAAAAAACATAATTTGCACCCTTTTCACATGCAACAAGTACAGAGATTAGAGGCGGGCGATGAAATTCCCCAAATTCGCTTTAGTAGAAGATCATTCAAAATCCAAGAATTTTAAGATGATGCTCATTTACTGATGAACCGTAGTTTATGAGATGGCTTATACAAGTTAAGAAAATGGACAGAACAAATTTCCTTTGGTATTAGGCAAATAGAATAACCTCGATAATAAATAAATAGGGGCGTGTTCGGAACACGTCAAAACATGTCAAAACTATTTTATACAAAACTAAACCTTTAGACCTAGCTGACTTAAGGAGATGAATAACGCTTGTGATTAGATCGGTCACGCCTGAGATGTTGAGTAAGGCTCCGATCACATTAGAGGCACGCTTGTGCAAGTAATTTGGGGGCGCCCGCGTGCGCCAGCGTGCACATAGAAACAAAATCCTCAGGAGAGCGACAGAAATAACTAGTGCTTGTTCTCTCCGCTCACACTGCACGCAACAAGCAAGTGCACACTTGTATAAGCTTGATCCGAAACAAAAATATTTTTTTCTGAATTGCAAGCGTGCGTGATCTAAATTGATTTTTGACCATCGAGGCAGTGATAATGACACGCGTATCGGAGACAACACTAATGTTTGTAATTGCTGTAGTCGGAGGTATTTGTGTGAATGCCTCTTGTTTGTTTTCTAGCAGTATAGTATTTTATAAACCTTAGAAGCAAATTTCACATACATGAACAAATAATAATAATGCCCGTGACAACAAGAAGACAAAGCAACGACTCCTCATAGGGTGACGGCTTCGCGGCCACCAGAAAATTTCAATTCATGCCTGGCTACGCCGACCGGCATAAACACCAACGGCCTGGACACAGCTCACCTACTCTGTCCAAAGGAGACCGATGGACAAATAAAACGCATACGATATGCGCATTACAAATAATTAGTGTTTTCCCTGATACGCGAGTGTGATAGTGTAGTGTTGTGGAGCTCCTGATTTGTGTTTATGAGTATATGATTTATACGAAAACGCTTATCGATGCCGTGAGAAGAAGACCGATTTGGGACACATTGTTAAAACTTCACAGCAATAGGAATCATATCAAGAAGTTTTGGGACAATATTGCAAATTATCTCAATGTAGAATGTAAGTACAATATTCAATATATCTTCCTAAGTAAGTACAGAAAACGAAGTTATAAATAAATGTAATTTATTTGGTCATGTAATTATCAAATATTTCTCTTTAAACCTTTTTTTACAATATTCAGTATCAATAATTTCAGTTTAGCACAAAAAAAACGTTGACACTTTATTATTTGTCTATTTTTCACATTGGAAGTAGTGCTTGAATACGTCTCGAATCTTGATTGCTTTTGTGGTTGCTCTGTTGTACCTACGTTGCTCTACCGGTGATAGATATTTATGTTCCCTGTGGGGATGGTCAATTAGATATTTGTTCACTTCTTCACTACTTTCTTTGTCTATGACAATGTTGTGTAGTAGACACACATTTTGCAATCATATCCACTTTGTCTGGCGCATACTGTATTTCTGTTTTAAGTACTCGCCATTTATCAACTGTAATACAGAAGGCGCTGTTATATACGGGCTTTGCGGCCTGACGCCGACCCTGTTCAATATTTCTTGGTATGGGTTTTTATATGGATTTCGCGATAAAACTGTATCGACGAAGTACATGGGTACAAGACAAGCCACAAGACAGAACAGGCGCATTTAATAACTCGACGTACAGATGACAATTTGTAGTTCAACAATGTTTGGTGTTCAGTAGCTGTTTGGCGATTGTATGGTTTTAAAAGATAATCTTTTATAGGTGTGACAGGCTTCTGGTTCACCTACTGTGAATCAACGAGTCCGTGTGGCGCTATGATGGTGATTCCCAAATAGGGGTTGCTCAGGCGCCAGTTTTTGTATCGCAGTTTGCTCTGCGACCCTGTAGTACACCAGAGTGCACTTAAGGTAAACTCAGTGGAGGTACTAGAATAAATAAAAATAAAACACTTATCTCCTTTACACCTCGTATCCTACGGTACCCTAAGAGAGAACGGTTAAGAACCAGCAATAAGAGAAACACAGGAATAGGTAATACAATATATATTTACAAAAAAAAATACAACTGTGCCGGTGCACGGTTCTGGCACGGCGGTAAAGAGAAAATTAAATAAAATGAATAATTACAATTAAACGAGATTACAAGAAAGTAATTACGGATCCCTATAATATACAGAAGAAAAAGAAAATAATTAAAAGTAAATTATTACAATTGCAGCTAGTTAAATACTAACGGTTCCCGGTATTCAGAAGATTTACTAAAAATAAATTAATATATTTGAAAACTAGTCAAATCTTACTGGCTCCCTATATTCGATAAATTTAATAAAAATAAACTATTACACTTGAAAACTATTTAAATATTGAAAAATATTTACGGTTCGCTAGCACAGGAGGCCAAGCGGTCCGGGAATTATGAAACTCCCTGTATACGGAAAATTTATTAAAAATAAATTAATACACTTGAAATCAATTTAAATATTGATGGATCCCTGTATTCAGAAAATTTATTAAAAATAAATTATTACAGTCGAAAACTATTTAAATAATGATGGATCCCTGTATTCGGAAAATTTATTAAAATTAAATTATTACAATCGAGAACTATTTAAATATTTATGGATCCCGTATTCGGAAAATTTATTAAAAATAAATTATTACAATCGAAAACTATTTAAATATTGATGGATCCCTGTATCCGGAAAATTTACTAAAAATAAATTATTACGCTTGAAAACTATTTAAATATAGGGAAATGTTTATGGTTCATTAGCGCAGGAGGCTAAGCGGTCTGGGAATTATGAAACTCCCTGTATACGGAAAATGTATGAAAATAAATTACTACAATTGAAATCTATTTAAATGTAGGGAAATGTTTATGGTTCATTAGCGCAGGAGGCTAAGCGGTCTGGGAATTATTAAACTCCCTGTATACGGAAAATTTATTAAAATAAATTACTACAATTGAAAACTAATTAAATCTTAATGGATCCCTGCATTCGGAAAATTTATTAAAAATACATTATTATAATCAAAAACTATTTAAATCGGAAATTATGTACACCCGGTATATGGAAGGTATGTTTTTCCAAAATCACGAAATTAAATTAAATATTCTGGTCAAAATAGTAAAAAAAAAAACGGTAATTAATTAAAACGGAGTATTTAATTTTTTTAACAAACGGCTACCAACTGGGAAGTTCATAAAAAATTAAATAAAAGTGGTAGTTACGACACTCCTTGTATACGGAAAATAAAGTTTGCTATTACCATCATTAACCCACCTACAATGTACGTTCAGAAAAGGAAAACCTACTATATAATGGAACAAAGTTTTCGGAACCCCCTTGTATCTTATCCTCGAGCGATGGGCCGCAGCAATTTTCGTCGAGTAAGAATCATGGGAATTTACGCGGTATTTGGACAGCGTAGGCGACGATAGTAGAAAAGAATATTTTGAGAGTTGCCCAGAGTCGATCGAGACGGTGTGTGAATTAATTTTACAGAAGTCGTCTGGCTTCGTTCAATAACTAATTCCCAGATGTGATTGAATTTATGCTTTTCGGTAAACCCGAGTGGCGAATACCACTACTACAGCCGACTGTTTATAATTTAAAAATAAAAAAATGTCCTTCTAGTACCTTGACAAATAAAGGTAGGTAATTGGTACAAAATTGACTCTACAAAATGCCCATTCGGATTTCGGCAAATATAGAAATATTTTAATCTACGAGGGTACTCGCAATTGTTGAAAACGGTAATTCCTGGGAAACAGAAATACCTTCTACATGTGCTCAGGCGGGAATTAATTAAAATATACATTTTAAATAAATAAATTTGAATGAAATAAAAATGAAATTAGTGACTTCGTCACAAAGGGATCCCTGATCTCTAAGAAGAACATGTGAGATAGGGGTTGTTTGTGCATTGTCTGAAAATGGAAGTAGTTTGTCTTCTAGAACGATTAAACCTCATTCTAACTTTTTGTACGAAAGCGTTGATTGACTGCCATAACTACCACCATCATTACAAATGAACCTGAATTTACCATCTGCAACTTCTTGTAGAATAATTGAGAAAAAAGCCTTATAGTTGTAAAACTGTGAACCAGAATGTACTAGACATTTTATGCGCACATGTTTGCTATCAATACAGCCCAAATAGGGAACTTTCATATTCTCATAAACTCTGCTTCCACAGCTTTACAAACTTCGTAAACAATCCCACTAATTGTGTTAGCCAATTTAAAGGAAAATGCTAGTGATCGAAATGTTGACAGGAACCTGAAAAACACAAAAAAATATGTGAAATTATCTACCGTTATTACTTACTTTTACTATAAAATTACAGTAGTAACGTATTTCATCTGATCTTGTATTTTTTTCTGTGCAGGTAGTGACGCCAAGAAGAAATGGAGGGCCCTTCGTGAAAATTACCGAAAAAACAAGCAAAACAACGGACCACAACTGGTCAGGCTGCAGGTTATAACTGGAAGTCTAAGTGGGTACACTTCGACAATTTATCCTTTCTTCAAAACACGTTTGTTCCTCGAAACACCTCGGGAAGCATAGGTCCTGGTTTGTCCAAAAACTCAAAAAAATGAGACACAACCTTCTGAAAATATAGATACCACCAACGATGACCCTCGAGATACAACCAGTGCGTCTGAAAATGGTAAAACGGAGAGGACAGTTATTGAAACTGTTTTGGAACCTTCGATACCCATTACAGCAGCCAAAACTACTACACCTGAAGGTGGTGGAAACACAAATAAAAAAACAGCCTACGCCAACTAAAAGGACTTCGGAAACCCCAAAAGTCCAAACAATTTTAAAAAACAAATGTTGAAAAATAATTGGGATATTAGAAGAAAAAAAGGTTGAAGAGTATCTTAAACGAAAGTCATCTTCACAAAGTCAAGAAGTTCAGGATACTGACTACCATTTTTTGATGAGCCTATTGACCTCATTAAGAGCTACACTGGCTTACAGAAAACTTATGCTAAGGCGAAAAATTGAGGGCTTGTTTCTACAAGAAGAGGGGTACAGTACTAAGGTCGAGTTTAACTATAGTCTTCAACCATCAACAAGTGCAGGATCTCATCAAAGCGTGGTGTCACCTGGTGGGCAATCAGATGTAAGCAGTATTGGAGATCATATGAATGCAGGACCATACGAAGACGCAGAGCTCACTCAGTTGATCGCAGGATATAAAGGAAGTGTTTATAATAAATTGTTATGACTTAATGTTACTTAATTTTATAACATTAAAATTCGAAACAGTACTTTCTTACATTCTTTGATTTCATTTAATAAAGTTCTTGACCAAGCATATTAAAAACGAGCATTTTATTTTCCAAACCTGATATCCAGGTTGTTATTATTATAAACTATTCACAGACAGAAATATATTCAATCGCCATTTTTTAATGTTTATAAATAATACGTAAGATTAACATTTTTGGGAGCAAAAGACCTAAAACATTTTTAATATTGGCAGATTGAATATCATTTTTAAATTCATCAAAAGCATATTTTAAAGTAAATAGTTAATAAATCGTCTTACCTCAAAGTAACCATCAGCTTCTCTTCAGGTGATATATAGGGTGTCCAAATTTGACTTTTGGTTTTAATTTAATTATAAAACACAGAAAACCCTTGAAATATTATAATGTTCTTGTATTATTTTAAAGTTTAAATGTTACGATTAATAATGAAAAATGATATCCGGCATGTGACCCCTCTGCTTCTTTGGCATGCTAACATTTTTTTTCAAAATTTTTAACAACATTTTCGTAAAGATTCTGTTCAATTTCTTCAGTTTTTTGAATAATGTTAACTCGAAACTGTTCAAGTGTTTGAGGATTATTAGCACAAAATTTTCCCTTCAAAAAAGCCCCATAAGAAATAATCGAATAGTGTAAGGTCGCACGATCTAGGCAAACAATTAACATCAGCTCCTCGAGAAATTATTTAATTGCCAAATCTCTTCTAAAACATTTAATGTTTTATCCGATGTGTGGAAAGTGACACCGTCTTGCGGAAATCACATGTTTTGGAGATACATACCTACCATATCACAAATAATCTAGTCATTGTACTCTATCGCGCTTTATTCACAGTTATCGCATCACCAGCTTCATTCTGGAAAAAATAACGCCATCAGACCAAAAACCACACAACACAGTCACATTTACTGAGTATAGTCGTTTTAACCATATTTCTTTTGGATTTTCTTCACCTCATAGTTTGCGATTTCGCTATTGTAATCTCTTCATAAAGCACTTAATAACTTTAACAAATGGTGCTAAATTTCTTTCGAAATGCGTAACACATCTTCTTGCAGTTTTAACAAAACATTTCCCATTTTGGTAATAAGTTTTCGCAATAAAGACGGGGTTTGTTCCATGTTGACCAAAAAACAAGTATCCGCAAAGTTTTTACTTGACATATGTCACCATAGAAATACTGTCAATGAAGATTACCAAAAATGGTGGTCAATTTAAATCGGAATGTCAAATTTGGACACCCTTTACAATTTCGGAAGTTAGATTGCCTCCTTATTTTAGGAGTGATTTTTCCTAGTATATAATTAAAAGTGTCTGGCATTATTCTAAAGTATTTAAAACACTTATTAGGCTCTCTAAGCAAATCGTTAAATATTCGTGCATACTCTCCATCTTACTATCTGTCTAAAAAATACTCGTTAACCCACTCTTAACTGATTTCCTGCTCATCCAAAAGTAAAAACTTTAAAACACCATTCTCCAAAACAATGTCCTCATCGTCTCATATCTCCATTTCTACTGACCTGTTTATAATACTCGTGAATCGGCGACAACACTATTAATTTGTAGTGCGCATGTCATACGCGTTTTATTTGTACATCAGTCTCCTTTTCACAGAGTAGGTGAGCTGTGTCCAGGCCGTTGGTGTTTATTCCAGTCGGCGTAGCCAGGTATGGATTGAAATTTTCCGGTGGTGGCAAATCCGCCACCCTACGAGAAGTCGTTGCTTCGTCTTCTTGTTGTCACGAATGAAAACAAACAAGACGCATTCACACAAACACCTCCCACCACAGCAATTACAAATAATTAGTGTTCTCGATACGCGAGTGTTTATAATTAATAACTTGCACCTGCTTGCATTTAGTGTGAGCACATTGCTATTCGCGCACGTGCGATTCACCAAATTACTTGCATTACCTAACCTAACGATAGAAGACATTTTTATTTCAGATTAGGATGTTGCCAAGAGGTTTGCGGCGAGCATTTTGAACATCAACATTGAGACGTGTTTCTTTTACATTTAAAATAAATAAATAGTATTACTGATTAGTTTTTGAGTATGTTGAAACGAATTTCTATAATAAAATTATTTTATTAATGTTAATTTTTCCAATAAATCGAAAAACATTTAATATTTTCGAAACAGTTAGGTATATAAAATATGTCTAGAATATTCTGAAGAATCCAAAAATTGAAAAATATACAGGGTGTTGCATTTAAAATAGGAAAGGTACATGACACACCATTTATGGAAAGGTTCTGTTAAAAAAATGCGCAACTAAAAACACCAATCGACGTATCCGAGCGTTTTTCCGAACACGCCCCTATTTATTTATTACCGAATTTATTCCATTTGGCTGTTGCACACTGTATAGATACGTATGTGTCACATAAATCTAGTACAAAATAAAACATCGCTCTGTTACTTGTAAAAAATGAGCAAGACCCAAAATATCTTGTTCCATATTTATACCGTCCCGAAGAACAAAAGAGAATTTCAACATGATTAAGAGTTAAAAATGTAACTCTATTCTTCATGTGTTTATATGAAATTTAAATGATACTCATTTTGTTAAAGTTTTTAAAGTTTAAAGTAAGGTACATCCCAGTTTTAAATTTATATTAACCGAGAGCGACTAATCCTTATTTGTCTAATTTTAAAATAGCAATTCTCCTACTGTTGGCTATTAGCAGTATATTTCGTTGCAGAATCGAGTTAAATAAGTATATGAAAGTAGAGTCTTTTAATTTGCACAACAAATTTCTTTCTTCGCGGGTAATGAAAATATGAAAAAGTACAATACAATACTACCAGGGTCGATTTTTTCACCTCTGAGTAAAGTTACATGTAGGTTTACTTGACAGATTAACAAACAATAGCTCTATAGTTTAATCAGCAAGTAGTTACTTTCAACTTTACGCAGAGGTGAAAAGACTGGCCCTAAGTGTAATTGCTAAGTAAGTATATAGGTATGTTTATTTCTAAAAAGCTATTATCTAACTAAACAAATACTCAAAATATTGGCATAAGACTAACCTACATTTTTACCCTTTTAAATTTTATTTATCTACTATGGCTTAAATTATATTTTCAACTTCAAAAAAGGAAGAGGTTCTTAATTCGAAATATTTTATATTTTTTTATGTATGTTCGGAAATTAATCTTTACTTTGTTGTCCAATTTCTATGATTCTTTTTTTGTTTGAAAGAGGGCACCTCAAAAGTGGTCCCATATAAATTTGGTTAAGATCTAATAAAAGAAAATCATCAAAATCTTAATTTTTTAAGTATTTTCAGCGATAATTCTTTACCACGTTGTCCGATTTCTATGATTCTTTTTTTGTTAGAAAGAAAATACCTTAGGGGTATTTTCATATACAATTGATTCGGATCTGATGATCTTTGGAAATATAAAATATCTCAGTTTTTAAGGGCTTCATCTGCACGATTTTGAAGTCGGTTTTTTTAAAATTACTTTCTTAACTTGTCTTGTTTATATTCACTATTTTCATGTAATTACGAGCATAATCACTTTTAGATATCGTTTATATTTACAATTTTTATCTAAATTAATGTCTTCCTGCATATTTTTTTTTTTACTATTTTAACATTTTATGAAAATAATTGTTCTATACAAAGTGTGAATTTAAAATTTATGTAGTTGAAGATACAAATGACTTTGGTATCATTTTAGATGATGAACTGAAATTTTCTGAACATATAAAAAAATACAATGTCTGATAGGAAATCGGTTTATGATTTGTGATGACAAAGTTAGGGATTAGATTCTACCAGAAGTGTTCCTTTTACCTTAATCAAACGATTTTTCTGACCACATCACCGATGAAACCACAATTGGAAGTAGGCACTCACCTGTAAAAGAAAAACATCGGTTAAAAATATTGCATTAAAAAGTTAATAGAATATACACACAATTTTTTCTTGTTTAGTAACATAATCAGCATTACGTGAATGCGTATAACCATTGTATTTAGATAGCCTAATGTAACAATCTCAATGTAAATTATCCTGGAAGACAATGGACAGTAACAATAGATGGCATCGTTTCCAAGTCTTTGATAATTTTGTCGTCTTCTACACCAAACTATTGAACGGTTGTCGAAAATTAATAACGAACCTAATTTCTCTATCTACCAATAGATGGGTCGATAGTCGATTAAGTAGGAACAGAATATTTGATTTAAAAATTATTATTATTATTATTATTATTATTATTATTATTATTATTATTATTATTATTATTATTATTATTATTATTATTATTATTATTATTATTATTATTATTATTATTATTATTATTATTATTATTATTATTATTATTATTATTATTATTATTATTATTATTATTATTATTATTATTATTATTATTATTATTATTATTATTATTATTATTATTATTATTATTATTATTATTATTATTATTATTATTATTATTATTATTATTATTATTATTATTATTATTATTATTATTATTATTATTATTATTATTATTATTATTATTATTATTATTATTATTAATATTATTATTATTATTATTTTTCATGTACATTTATTTTCGATTTATCATAATTTTAGAGAATATAACAATAATAATTTAAATTTGACAATCTACCCAAATGATTTTAATAAAGAAAACTTTATTTTTCATTTTGATGAAGTTTTCTACTTGTCTTAACAGATATCACGAAATGAGTACCTCCAATGAAACGTCCATAAGTTTCTTCTACTAGACTATCTAAATATAGATACGTTTTTAACAATCCATATATTTTACAGTAATACAAGAATAATTCACACACCTACTATTTATCTTATATTTAAATGTAATCTTGGATTAAATCCGACTTTACATATTACCATAATTTTGTTTCAAAGTCATGACTATTACGCTTCATAGAATAATGTAGAAACGTCTCTACATGCGCATAAATAT